CTATTGGTAGTGGGTGGTTTTTGTATAAGAGATAGGGTTATGGGGTTGGTGTTTGGTGGTGGTAGGGGTGGTTTGGGGTGGTGGGTTTCGGGGGGTTGGGTGGGGGGGGGGGGGGTTAGGGGTGGGGGGGGGGGGGTTTGTTGGCGGTTGGGGGGGGGGGGGGTGTTGTGTTGGGTGGGTGGGTGGGGGGTGGGTTGGGTTGGAGTGGTGGGGTGTGTGGCGTGGCGAGCGTCTGGCGTGGCTGGTGGTCCGGTGGGGAGGTGTTGAGGGGCTTTTTAGGGGCCGTCGTTTATGCTGCGGTGTGGGTTGGGTGGGTGTTTTGCTGTCGCGCGCAGGTGATGCTACATGTGGGATGTTTGCTGAGTAACTGAACCGTTCTAGTGATCTGTGTCTGTGGGCTTGGGTCGGTGAATGGTCTGCTGCGTGTGGCCTTCGTTGGGTGGGCTGTGGGAGTGCGGTTACGGATGACGCACGGCGTGTGGCTTGCGTTTGGTGTACTTCTTAGGGTGTAGCGTGTGTTGAGCCCTATGAGGGGGAGCGGGCGGGGGTTGTGGGGGAGTGATGGGTGTGTTGGGGTCTGGGCGTCGTCCGGGGCGCGTAGGGGGGGGGGGGGTTGGTTGGGGGGGGAGGGGGTGGGGGAGGTGGGGGGTGGGGTTGTGCACGGGTCGTTGTGGGCGAGAGGTGGAAGGGAGGGGCCAGGGGGCGGTGGGTTGGCGGCTTGATTGGTTGTGTTGGTTTTTGTTAGTTTGGGGGCCGAAGACAAGTTGATTTGTCCGTCGGAAAAGAAGTTAAGGAGAAAAGAAGTCAATAGATATTAAAATTAACAGAAGAAAATGGTTGGTGGGGGCTTAATGGGTAAAATTGGGGGGCGGGGGCGAAGAACTGAGGGGTTTGGTGCTGCTGTTGGGGGCGGCTGTCAGGTTGGTTTATGAGGGGTATAATAATGGTGGTGTTTAAGAGATAGTGGTGATTTGAGATACCTTTAGGTTGGCCCACATAAACCGGACTCTATACTGGGTGTATAAATCGGTTTTTAATATTTGTATTGTTTTAGTCTTCTTAATGCCTGTGCCCTGTATGGGAAGGTAGTGTGTGTTTTGGTATTTAGTTTTGCCCCGTCCCAGGATTGATATGGGTTTTGGGAATTTGTGGTATTAGTCTTCTAATAGTTCGGTTTTGCAGTAGGCTGTGGGACTGGAAGGGGGTTAGCGCTCCTCCGGTTCTTGGTGTAAGGGATGTTAGTAAGTTGAGAGTGGGAGGGCCGTTATGGATTCTACTAGCTCCTTAGGATTGGTTTTATTAAT